TCGCTACTTTCCAGTAGAGTTTATGTTTAACAGTAAGAACTACCAAGGCTGATGTGCCAAAATCGGGCATGCTTGTACAGTAACGCAAAGAAATTACTCCTTGATTTGTCGTTATTTAAGTGTGGCAGTTGGAAGTCATGCAACGGAAGAACAAAAATAACGGTCACTGAATGATTAAGTATGGAGAAATGACAACTCAGGGGCTATCAAAGTTTTTACCTGATGATTCTCGTTGTTGCACTCCGCAGTCAAACACGGATTAGCAGCAGCAGCAGCAGAAGCAGCAGCAGTGGTGGCAGGGGTGGAAGTATTAGTAGTAGCATAACTTTTAGTAGTTGCAAATGAAACCGATTTGGCCTGACCCTCCTCTGTCTTTGGCGATGCAGACCGAGGCAGGACAGTGGGGTTTCGAGAGGATGGCAACCCGTTGCGACCATCTAGCGTCCCACCTGGTGGATAGTTCTCGTAAAAGTTGGCGTAAACTGATTGATCCATCTTGTTTGGATGGGGCGGAATCGGAGGAGCCACTTCAATCACCCCAGGCAACTCGTCATATGGATCGACTTCGAGAGGGTTCACCTGCACTGTCACGGTTGTGGTTGTTGAAGTGTCTGGTGAGGTAGTGGTCTTGCTCCTAGGAGTCCGTGTTTTGGGCTGCATATTAAAGTAACCAAATTTCATAAAGCAGTGCAGAACGATATTTACTGTTCATTTTCTTAAATTTCGCCAAATACGGATTCTACTGCTCTTAAAACTTTAAGGCATGAACGAGAAACGAAAACTTTTCATTCCCGTTCTAGCTAAGATAGTGCTCCAAAGAAAGCGATGACACACAGAATGGGTTTTTCCCACAGTCGCCAGAAAATAAACATCAAACATAGGCATGGATACATCCGCTAGCGCTTACTAAACACGAACAGTTTGCTTAGGAGGTGAGCCAAAAGTTAGTGCATTTGCCAATGGAAAATGACTCTTTGTAATCTGTAGTGGATGGGAAACGCCATTTAATTATTTACGAAATGACTGCCCATGGAGGTACCTATAGTGTGCTTTGCTTTATTCTCTAATGCATCGCCTAAGAAGGCGGATCCACTTCGCCTCATTGCAGAGGCACGACAAACTCCCTTTCGATACAAAATATGGCACTTGAAGGAGGTAAAGAGTGCAGCAGCAAAACGTGTCACTTAATAATAACTCAACTTTTAGGCTTTGCAATGAACCACTAAAGGTGAATGCATCAAAGTGAGAAGGCGCCTACTCTCCCACTGGTCGAAGCAAGGCCATTGTGAATAGCCAAAGGATGGCAGGACAAAGGCTATAAATTCAAAGTTTGCATTCTTCACTCATGAATGCCTTGGAAATGATGCATCACCTCGATGATTGCCTAGAGGTGCTTGTTGCTTATCGGGATAGTGCGTTAGAGGTAAGACGATACTCTCCGTGTTCCAGTATGTGACTGCTTGATGCCAGATTTGAAGAATGGAAAGCTCTGATACATGTTTTTGGAAGTTATCCACCCCTCCTCCATCCTCCTTACATCCTGTCTACACTCGCGTCCATCCATCTTCAACACGTGCCTCGAAGGCAATGCGAGTAGCACAAGAAGAGGGTTCGGTTCTGCTTCAGAAACAGACAGAATGTTCAGTTAGAAGGAGGAGCCTTTCTTGCATAACTTCACAAGTGGAGGCGGAATTTCATA